TATAGGTCCGTGGTTGTAGCCGGTTCCGCCATTGGGCTTTTGGGTGTGTCGGAAGGTGACTATGGTACGGCGTTCGAAGCACGTGGCACCTCTGGCGACGGGTCGGGAGGAACGTCCGTTGTTGCATCCTCGAAGTGCGGCGCCAGTGTTGATTGCGGAGCGGGGTAGTTCGGAAGCAGTGGTGCGTGGAGTGGAGGCGCGTTGTGTGGTGACAGTGAAGCCGTTTCGGATCGAGGTGTGTGATTTGTACGGTCGGCCGGTGCAGGAGCAGGTGTGTGAGGCGAAGCATTTGTTGAGCGCAGTCTTCGCTGGTGTTGCGGGTATTGGGGAGACGTTGGTATGTGCGACAGCGGCCTTTACCGTGTGTGTGTATCACCTGGTGGGTGTGTGTGCACCGCCACGTCTGGTGTGCGAATTACCGTTGCACTTACCTGAAAACGTGTGGCTGCGTTACTATCGAGCACACACTCGTCGTCCTGCGTTCCTAAACGACTTGCGGCTCAGTGCGCTTGCCTGTCCCTCCGAATTCGCCCGACGCCACGGACTCGTTGCCGTTGGCTCCAGTGGCGGTCTCACACAACTGTGGAAATTACCTGACCGCAAACTCGTCGCCCTCCTTCCACCACCTCTCGCCGAAAAAACTGGCGTCGCTGCACTTGCTTTCTCCGCACTAGACCAGGCCGAGTTCTGCACCGACCTCGCCTCCCCCTTCACTAAGCCTGAACTCTCATTCGCACGACGTAACTACCTCTGGCTCTTCTACTCAGACGGGCAAACCGCGCTCTGGCGACTCAGCTTCAGCGGAGATTCCTGGGGACCCCAAGCCACGACCAATCGCGAACTCCTCCGGACGGCACACCTCTCTGCACAAATATCAGCACAACTCTCCGCTCGAGCCGCCAGAACCCGAGCCCGAGAGGGAGATAGCGCTGACCGAGACGGAGACGGCACTGACCGAAAGGGGGGACGTGACCGAACCGCGGCCGTCGGGGAGGGGGACGTCAATAAACTCGCCGAAGCACTCGCGGACGACGAAGAACAAACCCTCTACGTCGGCGCCATCCCACCGCACCTGCATTATTACTTCCCCACCATCGAGCATCCTCTCCGGACCGTCGAAGACATCGTGCTCCAGCAACTCGTCTCGTGGAAGGACGTCGTTCGCGAACCCGAACCCGGCCTCGTAACGCTCCACCATGCCCAGAGCTATCAGGCCCAGAGCTATCATACCCAGAGCTGCAACGCCACCGCTCACGTGTGCGCCTCCGCACACGTGAGTGCCAGCGAACATGTGCGCGAACAGGACTCAGAGTCAGCGTCGGAGCGCGTGTCTGACGGGAGCGCGCTGCTGACCGACGGCGTTCTCTACAGCCACGGCGGCATAGCGGGCGGCGGGGGTGGTATGAGTCGCGTAAGAAGTTGCACGATGGCGGCGGTACAAGCGATGGGCAATCCGTCAAAGTCGGGAAGTCGATCGATCGAGGAATTGGTTGACGAGGAACCGCGAGGAATTCGGGGACGGGGAATGGCATTGCGCGAATCAGTGGTGATTGAGAACACTTTGGAATGTGGTGAGTGGGTAGCCTTGTTTGTTCGACAACAGGCGGAGTTCGGGTTTATTCTATTGCATCCACGAGCATTGGGATCGCCTATACGACCCGTCATCACCTTCCGAAATCTCAGTATTCCCGTCAACATGGACTCTCCTGTCGCGACTTGTTATGCTCAAATACGCGACCGCAGATGCTTCGTCGTTGCCACTGCTGGAGTCATCCGCCTCCTGGAACTACGCATAGAAGACAAAGGACTCGTCCTGGAACCCACTGGCACCGACGACCAGGTAGAAGTCTTCTATGACATAGACGTAGACCTCAGTCTCCTCCGCACGCATACGCTACGGAGACGGGCAGACTTCTCCAAAGCCTATTACGACCAAGACTTCGACGAACTACTACTCGGACTCACCACGTACGTCTTACACTCTCGCTTCCGTCGCCTCAGTCGGCTGCCTGCGTCGGTTCACTCCCCCCCGTCGGTTCACTCCCCGGTTTATTCCCTTCTCCTTCCCTTTCTCCTTCTCCTCTCCCTTGCCCTTCCCCTTGCCCTTCCCCTTCTCCTCCTTCTTCTCCAGCTTCTTTACCAGCTCCTGTGTTTTTAGAGGCGAAGTCGTAAGGATAGACTCATTCAGCGAGATAGTTTTGTAGTTTTTTATGGGGCCGTCAAGTACTGAGTTGCTCAGAGCTGGGGCTCCGATTCGTGCTGCGCCGGTTGCGTCAATCTTCGCCTCCACTTTGACAGGCGGGATTGGCAACAAGGGACGGCTACCATGGCGGCTGAAGGAAGACCTGGAGAGCTTTGAGCGCATAACCAAGACCGTAGGTAAAGATCCCAATGGGATGCCGAACGGGGTCATCATGGGGCGCAAAACATGGGACTCCATTCCCACGAGTCCTCTCAAGGATCGTATAAACTGCGTTGTAACCAGCCATCCAGATGATCTACTCGGAAAAAACCAGTTTGCCAAGACCTCCCAAAACACCAAACTGGATCCCAGTAATACTCCATCGGCAAGATCGACAGGCCCCAAGACAGGGCCGACAACTTCGACCTACGGTGCAGACCTAAGAGGTAGTTTATTATTGCGCTTGCCGTTCGTAAATCGCCTTACTGGGATGGGGCGTGTCACTATAGACCATTCAGCGTTTCCCTTGGCCGTGAAAAGTTTACAAGAGGGGCTGAACAGACTACGGAACTGCAGCACCATCTACATAACGGGTGGCGCGGGACTGTATAATATGTCTCATGAAGCGCAGATTGCAGATTATATTATTTGGACACGCGTGTGCGGCGAAAAGATCGCGACAGATGTTCACGTTGATTTGGCGCTGTTGGAGAAGAATTATGAGTGTTTAGGCGTTTCCAAGACGAAGGGAAGTGGTCGATACACGTTTGATGTGGCGGTGCTGAGAAAAAAGGGTCAGGACAATATAAACAAAGAATATGAAGCGCAATTGAGCAACTTTATTCGAGGGATATCGGTTCCTGTTGGGCGCGATACGTCCTTCCAAACGGGCCTGATTGGGCTACAGAGCGCGAAGGAAGCGACATTTCGTTTCCATGATGAGTATCAGTACTTAGATATTATGAAGGATATCGTACAGAGTGGGGTGGAGATGGAGGACCGAACGGGTGTTGGTACCTTGAGTAAATTTGGTGCCTTGATGCGCTATGATTTATCTGAGAGTTTCCCGTTGTTGACGACTAAAAAAGTTTACTGGAAGGGCGTGGTTGAGGAACTGTTATGGTTCCTAAAGGGCTGTACGGACGGCAAGAAATTGGCCGCGAAGAACGTGCACATTTGGGATGGCAACGGGACGAAGGAATTCCTGACTAAGCGGGGTCTTGGTCATCGACGCGAAGGTGATTTGGGTCCGGTTTATGGATTCCAATGGCGACATTTTGGGGCTGATTATGTGGATTGTGACTGCGACTATAAAGGTGCAGGGGTGGACCAGGTCCAAACTTTGCTTAAGGACATAAAGCAAGATCCCGTGAGTCGGCGACACATCATTTCGGCTTGGAATCCGGCCGCTCTCAAGGACATGGCCCTACCTCCCTGCCACGTCTTGAGCCAGTTTGTCGTGGATCCGATGAGAAAAGAGATTTCATGCGCTCTTTATCAACGTTCAGGCGACTGGGGACTCGGAATTCCGTTCAACATCGCCAGCTACTCACTACTGTGCTATATTATAGGGCACCTTACTGGCTACAAGCCGAAGGAATTTGTCCACTTCGTGGCAAACGCTCATGTCTACAAGAACCACTTACAACCTCTCAAGGAACAGTTTACCAGAGCGCCAAGACCGTTTCCCAAAGTGGTGATTAATCCCGATATTACAGACATCGACCAACTAGAATTTAAGGACGTAAAACTGATCGGATATGATCCCTACCCCGCAATTAAAATGGAGATGGCAGTGTAAGTCGGGTGTGGCGGCCAGATAAGGAAGTCTGATAACAGCCGGATCGGCATGCTGGCTCAGTCATCACACCGACTACCAGTCAGTCAGATTGGACAACAGGTAGATGGGGCAACAGGTAGGTGGGCAGACATGGTAAATAGTGCTGTGATGAAGCGCACCACTAACAATACACCAACACAGAACGAAAAATCGCGTCAAGGTTCGCGTTCGCGATCGCTGTCCACAGTCAGACCATCGATTAAACCACCTTGCATGAAGTTGCACCATGGACACGGAGGAAGAAAGACTAACCTTCGAAATACAGCACCAAGCACTTCATGGCACCGCTCCTCACCAGTGCGGCTATGCGCCCACGGGCCACAACTGCGGATCACGACAACCCGTATATAGCAGCAATGGCTACACCTATCACACCATGGACCCCGATCCCGGATGCATACTGAGTAAGCAACAAAATGCAGCGCCCGAGCAACCCTCACCAATGAAGCAGCCTTTGTTCGCCCAGCAGCCTCCGCTAAATGAACGACCTCTGCTAACTGAACGATCCATTGTGCTGCCACTGAAAGAAATCAATTACAAGCCAAGCCCTGGCTTGAAATCAGCGTTACAGGGTCTCGGGGTTGGTTGCTCCACCATCCCCATGCTTTGCTTCTTAGTGAATCCGTTGTGCTGGCTAATATCTATTGCAATTTTTGTTTTCATACTAACAAAATGCGCATAAAACGCGGTTTCTCCTCTTAGCGGACGTGTGCACACACGTGTGCTGATCACATATTTCTTCCCCTATTCTCTAACAAGCCGAGAACGGAGCCGTGTCCACGTTCTGCAGATCCGTGGACTTGTTTCCTTCCATTGATGAGTTCTCCGCGTCCTCAAAAATGTCGTCCTCGTCTAGATCCTGATAAGATTCACCTGCAGTTCTGGCAGAAATTGTTTTGTCATCATTGTTCTGGCTCACTTGTGAGATGTCAACTGGATTGACTTGCGAATTAGGCCCGTCAATTGGCACCTCTTCAACTTGCGCGTAGTTACCGGATGATTCCGAGTCCTTTCTCGAAGAGCTGTCGCTGATGAAATCCGCAGCATTGATCACTGGTGAGCTTGCTTCGGAGGTTTGCTTCTTGAGAGGCATATCACCGCCCACCGGCTCTCCGGGGACGGCAAGACCAGCGGCTCCTGACGTACAGGGAATAGCCCCATCTTGCTCAGGTTGCACATTCTCGGTATCGACCTTTTCATGATTCACCACCGTGTCCTGCGACTTATCCACAGCACCTGCTGGCACTCCATTCGTTGTCACCGTCGGCACTCCCTCAGCTCCTTCAGCAACCATCACTCTCTTAGCAACTAATACTTCTTGCTTGGTCGAGTCTTTGGCCGCAGATACATTATCAGCAACTGGCACATTTGCGGCGGCAGCTGCAGCTTGCGCGGCAGCTTGTTCTTCCTGATACAGAACGCGGTTGAAGAAGCTGAGGAAGGTGGCAATGCTCCAGGCCTGGGCTTGGCAGCCGAATTGGCAGACTCCGCCATTTCGGTCTGTGACTTCCGGCAGACTGTACCAAGGTCCGGACCGGACTTTTCTGGCGACGGGCGTGAGCCGTCTGATGGCCGCTCCCTTCTCTTGGCTACTGAGTCCGTCGGCGTGTGTCCAGTAGGCTTCGAACCAGCAACCGTAGGGCCAGACCCACTCGGGTCCCTGATGGTAGTTCCAGCCGTGTGCAACGTTCTTATCATCAGTGTCATTGGCGTTGTCATAGTTCGCGCGGAACCGGTAGTTGTCTTTGTTGAGAGTTTTCATGCCAACCTGATCGGGTTCGTCGACCAGACGCTCCAGGGCGACTTCTAGCGCTTTCTTGGCTACCCCGGGTGGCAGTATTTCGGTCCTGGGACATAGAGCGAGTCCGACGCTGTAGTTGCACCTTAGGAAGAAGTCTTCGTCCGCTTGTTCACCGCCGTAGACGTCTTTCAAGGCACCTTCGACAGCGATACCGGGGAATCGTACTGCGTCCTCTGTGGTCACAACATAGCACTTGGCGAAGTTATTCCGGATCTGGTCCTTCCACTCATTGTACTGGCGCTGTTCTTCCTCACTAAGACCGAGCTGGGTGGCTATGTCGGACACCCAACAGAGCGTGTGGTACAGAGCCAAGGTAAGCTCCACAGGAGCGCCATCCCGGGGGCTGGACGGGTGACCTTTGTTTCCGGCCTTGGCTGAGGACCCCATCTTATCCATCCATGTGCCGCAGTTCCAGCGATTTCCGCCGAGGCAGAAGCCTGTCTCTGGATCTCTGTATACTTTGACATCAAAGCCAGAGTCGGTCATCTGCGAGTCAATACGTTCACCGGCATTCCACTCACGGAAGGCAATGCCGTGGTAGTGGGCATAGAGCACGTATCGCACGCAGTCCTTGACCGTTCGCGTGGCAAATGGCAGCTCGTATGTTAGTGAATGGTGGTATTTGAGCGCAACCGGCTCGTCGAGGATACGCGAGCCCTCGGGCGCTGCGTAGAAGAACCGCTGTAACGCGCAAAGCCAGAAGTGCACGGCGTCGCGCGCGTTGTATCGCGGATTCGTGCTCGAATCGAGCAGGTTCGGGATCATACCATGACGTAGCACCCGCGCATAAGCCAGCAACGTCGTACGGTAGACGTCCCAGCGCTGCAACGCCTCGCTCAGACCAGCTACACTAAGTAGTGTGTCGCGACCCCATTCCCGCATATACTCGGTTGTGAAGAAGGGCAGCCCGGCCGAAGTGCTATAGGGTACGACGTGCCGGTTTGTTGCGTCGAGACAAGCGCTCGGGACCTCGCCCACGACCTGCGTGGCGGCCACCGCAAGGGCGGCACCCAGCGGCGCACGACGTAACTTTCCTGCACGCAACGCGTTCAACACGCGCCGCACGCAGCGCCTGTGCACTTCGCCGAAGAGAACTTCGACCGCGTGCGTCTTCGTCGCCGGCTGCCGGGTGTGCTTCACCGCCGCCGTCACCCGTGCCCACCAGCGGCCCAGCGGCTGCTCCCCGAATCGACGACACACGCGTGAGGCGTGGTAGTCTAACAGCCAGTCGCCTTCACGCACATTCCGATAAATCCCGCAACTGCCGCACTCGCTCGCCCGCGCGCGCCGCGCCTCCGCCAGTGCGTCCACTGCGCCCATGACGCCGGCATAGACACACGCGCGAGTGTCCGGGAACATGTAAACACCCGCTGCGCCGGCAGATCGGTCGCGTTCCTCGGGGTCACAAGACCACATCAGGTAGTTCACGTCCGACAGACTTAGACTTTCCATCACGCCATCCAGCTCCTCCATAGCCGCCACGACTTCCGAATCTGCCCGAGCCAACTTCGCATACAAAACGCACACGCTGCCTGGGGGGTAGAAACTGAAGTTCACGTGCGTCACGTCCCGCGTTGCGTCGTACGACCGACGCGGCGGGTGCACCTCGCGCAACGTCCCACATCTACTGCCTAAACCCGTTACCACACCTGCGCCAGCGCCGTCTTGCAACTTGCTTGCGTCCATTGCCGCACACAGCAGTGGCTCGCCCACCACTTTTCCCTTGACCGCGCAGTAGTCGCTGTCCGGCTGATCGCGACCCATCCACCAGGCCGAGCGCACGAAGAAGTGGTAAGCCTCGCCGGACGCTGGGTTGTAACGCGAAATGCACGCCATGTCCTCGCCCATGTGCTGAATCTCGATCTCCGTGAAACTGCTCAGTTTCGAGTGCAACTTGTTCAACACTCGCCGACCCTCAATGACGCCGCACGACCTCGCCAACCAGTTCGAGTCTCTCGGACTCGAACCGTCGACCTCCAGACCACCAGGCAAACCAGCACCCCCCTGCGCCAACTTTCCGGCCGAAAATAACTTCCGATCGTCGCAAATGTTGTTGTTCTCGTTGCCATGGTTGTCGTACACCTTCGGATAACCCTCCGAACACCTCCACGCACCGTCCACGACGAACTTGGCCGTTCCGTCGGCCGGCCGCGGCAACTCAACAGTCCATATAACCGTGCCGCACGCCGCAGAGACCTTCGCCATCGGCAGACCTTCCGACCAAGAATTAAACGCACCCATCAACACGACACTCCTGTTGGCAAAGCCGTCGTAGCAAACGACCAGGTTGCCCTCAGCAGACGGTCGTAACAGCTGCTGGATCGAGCGCCTGCTTTCCTCGTCCGTTTTGGGTTTCTGCGGCGCGCTCTCGTGGTATACGGGGTAGTCGGTGCCGTAGAGCACGCCGTCTGCGATCACGGAGGGGTTAGTCTTGACGTTCATTTCGTAGCCGAAGGTGGAGCCCACGGAGCAGCCGGAAGCGCATACGATTGCTGCACACGCGAGCGTGTCCAGGGGTCGGTTCTTTTGCGTGCACGTTTCGTTATCGTGCGTGCAGTCATAGAACATGTTGGCAGCGCGGTAACTCTGGGGGGTCGGGGCGGCGTCGTAGTTCTTAGCGAGTGTGGTGGCGTCTCCGAGTCTGCCGGACGCGCCCAGCTTGACCAAGTGGTTGTCTAGCGAGCCGAATGGTTGGCACCGCGCGTACTTAACGGCATGCCAGGCCTGGTCGCCGGGAGACGTGGTTTGTATCGCTTCTCTAACAAGACAGTCGATGCCCAGCTCTTGTTCGAACCTAATATCCGCCTTCTCGCTGCCCGTGAAGAGCTCGGCAAAGACGAACAACTCCGGTCGCACTCTGCGCGCCGCTTGCAACACGTATTTGGCCACCGCCAGAGGCGTCGTGTGGCAGTTGTCAAGCCGGAATCCATGGAAGTGGGTAGCACTGAGCTCCGCATATTGGCGCATCAACTCCCACAGGGCGGGTGAGTGTTCGGGCTCTTCCTGTTCCGGCGTACCATAGTTAAGCTTCACACAGTCGCTCCATGCAATCAACGACCGACGCAAATAAACTGTACTGCCGCGCTCAATGAAACCCTTGGGCCCACCCCAGCCCATGACCCAGCCGTTATGCGCCAGATAATACGTCTGCCCATCCTCCGCTTCTACCGGCGTAAAGTACCAAGGCACCACCGAATTCCACGGCGTATACTCTATGGGCCCCTTCCGCAACTGCAAACGCTCGTAACGCAGGGTACCCCGCATTGAGTCCATGATGCTGTTCTTTATCACCACGCCTTCGCTCCACAAAGCCTGTTGAACATACGCTATTTGCTCTCGCGCTTCACGCTCACTCTTAGCGTATCTACGAGTCACCGAACTCGGAATCACGAAATTACGGGACTCTCCGACCGACTCATAAACGGCCTCCTTCAAGCTACGGGTCCCGGGGGTGCCCGCAGCCGCATCGTGACCAGAGTCTCTGAAGCAGGAGATCGTCTGCTCGACATCGATCGTAAGCCACTCCCTCAGGTTGAATTGACGATTAAAATACCGATCTTCGAAACACTGACAAATCTTGTCGATGTCGCTTTCGTTGTTAACGTACCGCGAAATGCCGATGCGGTCGTCGACAATATCCTTAGTAAACTGTCTCAATAAAATGTCCAATTCAATTGCTGCTTTGAGCCATGGTGCATTCACTTGATTGTAGCCAGCTTCCGGGTGCGCTCTCAGGAAGGGCGCGTTGTTGGCCATGTGATTCAAGACAATGTCAGTGAGGGAGTAGATCCCGTAATCGTTTTTCAGCCATTGTATCCTACCATCCAGTTCGGCCCAGTTACACGCGATTTGGTCGGAGACGGTCAAGTGGTCAGCAATACTATAACTAGACTTTGACTCCCCTACGACTTGAACAGGTGTAAAATGGATACCGTTAAATCCCTGACGACTCACGACTCTCAGGACATCCTCCCACCGGTCCACGGTGCCCAGTCTTTGAGAAATGACACTGCACACACTCGTGTCCTCAACGACCAAACACCCTCCCAGCTTGGCCTCGACAATCAACGACACGGATCGTAACTCAGTTCCATCCCCTCGGGTCTCCACCACCCGTGTCGGTCCCGTTCTGTTCAACACAACCTTGCAACACCGGTCGAATAGGAAAGACTCTTCAACGCCAACCTTCAAAACGGATCCGTCGCCACCGGTTACCTCCACTCCGCTGCCGTCACCACTCAGTCGTACACGCAACTCACAGCCGTACTGTACTCGATACACAGACTGCCCGGAGGGTAACTCCGAGAAATCAAACTCAACCAAGGACGAAGCGGAAGCACGATTCCTAACAAGAAACACGATTCCTCAGCCTTATCCCCACGGACCAATCCATCCTTTCCCAACCCCTACACACATGCTTACATGTCCTACAATAAAGGTAGTTGAAAAACTTGGTCGCTAAAAAAAAGGTTTGCATCCGTGACCTGATCACTCTGTCGTCCGTCTTCATTGTGGTCAATTGTCCTGGCGTTCGAGATTTGTTAGGTTTCAAAATGAGATTGGCTTTGAAACGTTCGGTTTGAAAGATTTCCTTTGAGGGGTTTGGACTGGAGCGAAAGGTTTGGACTGGAGCGAAAGGTTTGGACCGGGAAAGGTCTGGACCGGAGCGAAAGGTCCGGACCGGAGCGAAAGGTTTGGACCGGGGCGAAAGGTTTGGACCGGAGCGAAAGGTCTGGACCGGAGCGAAAGGTCTGGACCGGAGCGAAAGGTCCGGACCGGAGCGAAAGGTCTGGACCGGAGCGAAAGGTTTGGTTAATTATTCTTATTTTCGTTTTTGCCGTTGAGGAAGGAGGTAAATTTATTGAACACGTCCTCTGGTGGCAGGATACCGACCATGGCCTCAGTCACATTCTTCAAATCGCTTTTAATGCTCTCCCACCGTTCCGCTTCAGCAGGGTCTCTGGTGGGTTTCGGTTCGACATCATAGAACACCTGATCGAAGTCTTCAGTACCAAACGCAAACCATTTAGTAATAATCGGATTCACTTTCCCGACATACCCGAGATTAGACCCAAACACAGACCGCAATGTCTTCCATACGCGCGCCGTGTTGCGCTCTTCAATCCCCGCCCTGATGCTCTCAATGGTATCCAAGTCGTCGAACCGGACAGCCAACAACAACGGACCTTGTAGCACGTCATCGCGGATGAGGTCCGTCTCCAATTCTGAAACTGAGAATCCACATGCCCGACCACAGTAGCTCAATTCATAACACATAATGCGTGCGTAAAATATCCTCTCAATCGCTTCCGTTATGGACTCCCATTCTTCTGCTTCCCAGTCCTCTAAGCCCTCGCCACCAGCAACCTCCCACAAAGACTGAAACAGCGTCAATACCGCCCCATCCCAACCCATCAGTGCCTGGCGAGTATGGTAATGGTAAGAGCCGATATTCATTGAAGATTGGTCTAAATTCATCGAGTCATCTACAAAGGAACGTCAAATGGAGCACGGCTCTGCCCAATTGTGGAAATACGGGCAACCTCTGAACAAATTTGTGCGCACACACGCGTGTGCGGCTGTAAAATGTTGGCCTTACATAGCGAGTTTTCATTGGATTGCCCAGCCGCCAGCAAACAAATGAGGTAGCTGAGGTGTATGGCATAAGTAGTGATACAAGGTGGTACCTCAATTGGGTCTGAAGCGACCAACAGATCCGCTACAACTTCTATCGCCGTCTCGAGTTTCGCTCGACTCTCTATTCCCAGCAACGTGCCGGCAGCTGACAGAGCTGGTGATATAAAGGGCCATCTATATAACCAATTCAGGTACGGGGTTATCTTAGCGATGTTGTCACCGCATTCTCGGACTGTTTCTGCGGGGTCCTTCAAGCGGAGTCTCATTCAAGGAAATTATTTCGCCCATGGCAAGTCGTTGCCGAGGAAAAATAATCCATCCCTCCCGCAGCCTTCCCCATAGTCACCTGCCCTTCTCCCCAGTCAAGTTGCTGGGTCATCTTTACTGGAGCGGGACGCGCGTTCCGTGGACCAGTCGTTGAGTTCTCGAGCGTGCTTGTTGCGCAACAGCGGGTTTTTCTCAGTATGCTGGACGTCGCCGAGGCTAGAGTAGCCGCTGGTATATAGTGGGCACACCGGAATCAGATTTGCATCTATAAACTCCCAGATGTCGCCGTAGCTCCATTTCAGTAAAGGATGGCATCGCATAAAGGGGATCTCGGTTAGGAAACTGCTGCCTGGCATGAAGGGATAGTGCTGTCCAGACAGGGACTCCGCCCCTGCTGGGGACTCCGCCCCTGCAGGGGACTCCGCCCCTGCTGCACGGGATCGAAGAGGACTTCTGGGGTCATCATCATTTCTATAGCCTATCAAGACCAACACCGTGTCAGACTGAGTCGATTCGACCTCCGACAAAAAATCAGACAACCTCTCTTTATAAGACCCATGCATGACCATCAAATTGGTCCTCAGTCTCTTGCAGGTCCTCTCCACAAACGACTCAACCTCTCCAAACTCTTCCTCGCTCTTAAACCAAACACAATTCGCAGCTACAGCTCGCTCTTCACGACTCCAATAATACTTCTCCAACGCCCGGCAATATAATTCCAACACCACCGTGGCATCCTTACCGCCGTTAAAGCACACCCAAATCCTCTCCGGACGCCACAACCTTAGTGCGTCATTCAATATATCTCCTGCTTCCTTCACGAACCGCATCAAAATAAATTCGCCCCCCGATGAGTATATTTCTCCAAACACATAAACACTCTTTCCATAACCATTTTCCTGCTGCTCGCTGTCCAGACCCCACCCAACCAAACCTCCAACGTTGTCGCCGTTTTGTCCCAAGCCCCAAAAATTTTTTTTTTTTTTTTAACATAGTGCAACTGTGCTCGATGGATCTATTTCTATAGTTTCTCTCTTGCTTCAGTTCCAATGCATTAAACATTAACCACGGCG